AATGCCTCATTGGCCCTGTTCGTTTGGCTAAAATTGGCTAAAAATATTGTTCCAGCTGAATTGTTGTGAGAGAAAAACATTATTTTGACTGGAAAAAAACCCGAACAAACCAAATTATAAGATAAACCGAACGGACGTGTCCCATCCTAGGAAACAGTTCACCACGTGCTACTCAAACATGGACGCAGTTCTGCAGCACATGCACAGGATTCAGGTATGTACTGTACTAGAAAGACCGGCGCGGCTTTGCTGCGCGCTGCGCCCTCCGTGGAGGGCCAGGATTTAAACTATGATGATGCTCATGTTGGCCTCGTTCGACTGATCTTATAAAATAGCTTATTCAGCTTCTTTTTTTCGGTCGAAACAGTGTTTTTCTCTCACACCAATTTAGTTGGAACAGTATTATTCAGCCAAGCGAACGGGGCCGTTGCCGATATGGGGTCATTGGAGGCGTTCAGGCCTTTGGAACTTGTATTCGTCCCTTGAGTTGCTAATGTTAGAATCGGTACTCTTCCGATTGTTGCAGTTCTAGGTGTGATAGTGATTTGTATAAATTAATTTTCAATACAATAGAAAATTTTAATATATTACCATAACATTGGAGATTTAGGTCTGAACATTGAGAGGAAGGGAAATTTTATTTCAGAAGGTGAATATGCAATTAATATTAGTTGCAGACCATTTAGAAAGCATGGTCTGATGCTGTTGCATTTAAACTGATTCTTTTCTTTAGTAATCACTCTTAAACTAATACCATTTAAAGTGATTCCTTTCTAGCAATGAGAGGTACCGAAAAATTGTGCAAACTTGACAACAAGGAACATGATCATGGATTCGCTTAGCAGAACTGAGTAGTTGCTCCGGAGATACTACTGTGATTCTCAAAAATATGAAACTAACATAAGTCTTCCATTTAAAACTTGCAATGACAATATTTGAGAAAACATTTATAGGTGCAAATATATAGATCAAGGTAGTTTAGAGGACGCTCACTGACTGACATAGCATCACCATCTCAGTATTTAGAATGGTTAACTGAAAAATGATTTAGCTGTCAAATTTCAACTATGGAAAAATGTCAATTAGTCTCTAGTCACTATTTGTAGTTTGATACAGCTACATAAATTCAGTAATTTGGCACGTAAATCCACCTGAACTATTGCACAAAAAAGAAGGTGAAATGATATTGGAGACTGTTAGTAGTACCAGGAAATTGGGAGGGTCACTCATCTACTCCTCGTACTGAAATATATTTCAGCAAATTAACTCTGCTATTCGATGATACCGCCATCCACAACCAAATAGGATTATCAGAACCACCCGACACCCGTGATACAAAACTACCCAAAATCTTACAATACTATTGTATGGCAACAATGAATCAATCTATCCATGGTCGCAGCGCTCGTCACAGTCAATTTCCAGGGAAAATCAATCAAAGGAATGAATTCTTACTGCTCCCAAGGAAGAGTAGGAAGGCGTGTCGTACAGCGCGGCAGCGCCCTGCGCCATCCTGTGGAGATCGACCTGGATCAAGAGGTCGGCGTGACCGCACATGTCGATGCGGTGCCACAGCGAGGGGTCGTCCCGCGCGGCGCGGCTCTAGGATCGGCACGCCTGGCCGGCGCTCATCAGTATCTCGACGTGGTCGAGCTTGTGGAAATTCGGGGGACGGCCGAGATCGCGTCCAGCGGCAGGTCCTCCCTGTTCCTCCTGTTGCGGCCGCTCCCACGGCCGCCGAGGAGGAGGGCATGCCAGCCGCTGCCTTTGGTCTCGCTCAAGCTTGGGGCTCGGCATCTCGCTTTCGTTAGAAGAATCCTCGGCCCGGCGGGCTGGGCACGGCGAACCATCTACGCGGCCCGAGGAGCCTCACCGTCGCGCCGCCGGCCATCCGCGCGGCCCGTGCTCCGTCGCGCCGCAGCCCTGCGCGCGTCCCGCGGCCCTCGCTCCGTCGTGACGCAGCCTGTCCGCGGCTCCCCGCGCCGCCACCCTCCTCGGACCTCCGGCGGCGTGTGGCATAGCAGAACGACCCGGCGGCGCGGCAAGCCCCGGTTGTCGTAGAGCCTCGGGCGGGAGCAGGAACGACGGAGGCGGCACCGCAGGGGGGAGGCAGCGGCTGGCGGCGCAGCAGTCCGAGGCGGAGGGGGCGAGTTGAGTGGGTTCGAGATCATTTGAAACGCCTGGCTGCGTGGCTTAACGGGTAGGAGACCCGCGAAGACCACAATCGGACGGTCGGTATCATTGCTGGTTCGTTTACGTGAGAGAAAAGTACGGTTGTCTGATTTATGTGAACAGTACTTATGTGAGGGGGCTGGCCAGCCCAGCCAGCCCAGCGATCAGGCTTGATCCTGGGCGACGTGGCGCGATCTGCTGGCCCGGTTTCTGGTGCAGGATTCGTATAGTAAAAGATAGGCTCAGGCTATGTTTAGCTACTCCAAAACTCCTGAAAAATACACTATGTAAAAAGAAGATTTTCTGTCACATCAAACTTACGGTACATACATGAAGTACTAAATGTAGACGAAATCAAAAACTAATTGCATAATTTGATTATACTTTGCGAGACGAACGTTTTGAGTCTAATTAGTCAACGGTTAGATAATTATTACCAAATACAAATAAAATGCTACAATATCACTATAAGAATTTTGCCGCTCTAAAATTTGGGAACTAAACATGGCCTCACGAACAAAAACCTGAACTTTTTTGGCTGCGGCTGCAGGCATGCAGTATTTCACTAGTACACAAAACAAACATTTGGCCCATGTGAAATAAGCCTGTCTAAAGGCGAGAGAAATTTATCCACAACACTACGGAAGCAAGATTTTCCGCGAAATACACTGTTAAAGTCGATTCTATCTCTAACACATCTTTGTGATATACAACACCCCGTATCGAATAAACTAATCATTTTCTAGCTGAGAGGATGGGTAAAAAGACAAATTTATCCTGAGGCGCTCGCTGTCATTCCCCTCCACCTCCCTACCTCCTGTTCACGCACATTTGCCAGCCCCCTCATATAAATACTATTCACTTAAACCAACAGTATTTTTCTGAGTAAACAAACCCACGACAATACGAACCAAATCCTAACAACCGCCGCTGCCCGCGGTTCCAGAAAGGAACCCTATCACGAGTTCACGACGTTCTCAACAGGCCAATTCTACAGTTCTGGGAAATAAAATATGGAGAATTTATAGTGACATAGTACTCTAACGATAATGTACTGTGCATACTGCACGCTTTTATTCTCTCCTCGCTGACAACGCGTACAACTAGTGTCCTAGGCAGGTGCACATGGTTGGCTAAGGGGGTGTTTGTTCTATAGACTAAATTTTAGTCCATGTCACATCGGACATTCAGATGCTATTTAAGAGAACTAAATATGAGTTAATTATAAAACTAATTACATAGATGGAGACTAATTTACGAGATAAATTTATTAAGCCTAATTAATCCGCCATTAGCACATATTTACTGTAGCCCACATTATCAAATCATAGACTAATTAGGCTTAAAAAAATCGTCTCGCAAATTAGCCACAATCTGTGCAATTAGTTATTTTTTTCGTCTATATTTAATACTTCATACATATGTCTAAATATCCGATGGGACAGGAACTAAAATTTTTCTGTAGGAACCAAACACCCCCTAAGTACAATGCAAACAATAGTTGAAATTGTGTTTCCAGACCACCACAACTCCCTAGTCACACCCATACACCGGGGGTGTTTTATCCGGTAACTAAAATTTAGGAGGTATTATATAAGAGTGTTGTATAAGGTGATCGGATATTAATAAAAAAATAAATTACAGAATCTGTCAGTAATCCACGAGACGAATTTATTAAGCCGTTATTAGCATATGTTTACTGTAGTACCACATTGTTAAATCATGGGCTAATTAGGCTTAAAAGATTTGTCTCGCAAATTAGTCACAAACTGTGCAATTAGTTTCGTAATTAGTCTATATTTAATACTCCATGTATGTGTCAAACATTCGATGGAACAAACACCTCCTAAATTGTTGTGCCACTTCCCCGACAGTAATTTGTGAATGAACCATTTGCAGCAACATTATGCAGAGTCGAACAAGAACCTTTTTTGCAAAACAACTGCAGTAATGCACAAACACAAAACGCATGTCTGAGGCTTTAACCCAGACTTTTCAGTCAAACAGTGGTACAACAGGTCGACAGCATGGTCCCATGCAGCTGCTGCTTCCTTGCTCACCAGATTCTTTCCCTGCTGTGAATAGATCGTATCAAAACTGAAAATAAAATTGCAAAAAGTAAATCGCTGAGAGTAATAATAGTTTAAAAATCTTCATCTAGTGGGCTTACAAGACCCTCTTGTACGTGCAGATCCATAACCACATAATTCTCCATGGACAGTTGTCATACAAGGCTAACAACATGTGGATTTCATGACTATCGGGCAACCTAGTGAGCATAATATATTAGTCATGTGGCTAGTTAAGGAGACGAACAGAAAACAGAAGAGCTAAGAAGCCAACTATTTAGGATGCTCTGTTTCTCTTCAAGGATGTAAAAGGCCAAAAGTACTACCTCATGGCATGCATCTTCATATTGTTAGCCTGGAAACTGGAATTTACAATAGTAGGAACGCCCAGAGAAGATTAGTTATTCAACTGCCAAAGTATAAAATCACCTGCAAACGCACAGATGTAGATTCAGATTGATATTTCACATTTTAACCTTAATATTTGAAAGGTTTAATTTGAAGCTACTAACCTACAACACTGAATGGATTTTTTTGTCAGCCTGACATCCATGGAAACTAACACCGAACTATAATCATGTACAGGCAGCATTCATATGGCCGCAGTATGCAAGACTACAAGCACAAATTCAAGCTGGCATTGGTCCACTTGCTCCTCAAACAAAATTTGTCAACCTTCATTCAGGAGTCTGGTAAAATTTGAAGTTTCCATACATGTGTCTTGTTAGGTCAAGGAAATCACCGATGTGGAAACCAAAATTAGAACATGGATGTGAGAAGTTTTGTCCAAGTGCCCATCCGAGGAACAAAACCTTGGCCCACCATTTGCTTCAAGACAAGATGTGCATCATCCACGCAGTAATCACTACAGAGGCCATCAATCAGTAGCTTGTATGATTGGAAGCTAGGCCTCACACCTTCTGTACTCATAGTCATAGTGTTAACAAGGCTTTTGGCTTCAAAAAACTTTCCTAAACTGATGAGACCATCGAGAAGTACCTGATAAGTCCCTGAATTAGGATAGCACCCTTCAGAAGTCATTGATTTGAAGAGATCGAATGCCTCAGACACTCTTTCCTGCCTGCAGAGACCAGAGATCAAAATATTGTACACAACTGTATCTGCAGCAATATCCTGCTTCCGCATTCTCTCAAACAGCTCAAATGCTTTATCAACCTGACTACGCTGACAAAGGAAATGCATAAAGGTCGAGTAGGTTGCCACATTAGGCTGACACCCTTGCTTCGGCATCTCATGCAGCAAGGAGATAGCCTCATCAAATTTACCGCATTGGCACAAACCCTTGACAAGAATATTGAAGGAGCAGGTATCCAATGTCACCCCAAGCCTGGGCGCGCTCGAGTAGACCTCATGAACGACCTCGTACTGCCGCTTGCACACAAGCATGTGAAGAACATAATTGAATGTCTTGGTAGAAGGCCAACAATTATACCCAGGCATTGCAAAGAGCGTGTCGATGGCTTTCTGAGGATGTTCTGCCACGTTGCCGTACATCTTGATCAGCCTGTAGAAGAACTCGTCTGAAAACCTGAACTTTTCAGTTCTTGCCTTGGACAGCAACTCCTCCACGTCACTGAACCTCCTGGCGCAGGCCAGCCTGTCGATCATCAAGCTGTAGAGCGCCTCGCTGGGCTTGTAGTCTCTCCGGCTGCATGCCTTCTTGAATACATTGTTTATCAGGCTAGAGTCCCTGATGTTCACCAATATCTTGAGCACCTCGTTTGGTGCGAGCCAGTCCTTGTGGTCCAATCTGCCCATCCAGTAGCCGTCATCGCACACTGTGGAGCGAAGTTTCAGGAAAGGAGGTACCGGGCGACGCGCTAAGGCTCTCGACATGATCTGTGGTCAAGGAGGTAGGGACTGGGTGAGGACTGTGCATTGGCGAACCCTAAACCCATGGTATGCCTAGACAAAAATCTAATGTGCAATACGGTAATAATCCAATATACATATTTCGGCAAATGGTTCAGTATAAGAAAATAACCAAAACACGATAATATTTTTAAGAGGTCTCATAGTACTTTTAAACTAAAAAAAGATAAGCATAACAGGCTTTGATTTGATTTTAGGCTAACATAAGAAAATCTGTAACCAATGTCCATTAAAACAATGAATGTATGTATCCCTACCCCAGTACCCCCACACAATTGTCAACGTTCACACCAATTTCAAGCTATGCTAAACCTGCTAATCAAATGTAAAGATTCTACACTTGAATTCACAAATACCCACTCAACACTCACCAGAGATGCAGATGCAGAGCGCGAAGCGTTGACCGTCGGGGTCGGGCAGCGGCCGCCCGGCGCTCAGACGAGCGGCTGGAGGAGCTCCACAACGGCGCGGCAGCGCTGGACGGCTAGCGTTAAAAGCGGAGGACAGGGACGGCCGACGGAGTCACAGAGCTAGAGGACGGGGACGCGGGGGCAGCGCTGGCGCCTGGCGGGGCGGGGGTCGGCCGTCGGCGGCTCGGTACGCACACGCTCCGCGGCGGCGGTGTGGCCGAACAAGGAGGGCAGCACAAAGATATGCTGGGCCTCCTAGTATCCTCGGAAAAAGTGCATAACCCACTCGACTATTACCCAAAATATAAAATCGAATTTTTTACTCTAAACTTTTCAAAACCGGTCAAATAACTTCTGATTTTGACGGTGGTTCTATTACAGCGACGGTGGTTTTATCTTTTTTTTTATTATTTATTTTCGTTGAATTTTTAAAAAATCATAATAAATCACAGAAAAATAATAAAATGAAAAATTCAATTTTATTGTACTCCACACGAGTAGAACTATACAGTTAATATATAATATGGTATGTTTTAGTAGAAAGTTTTTGCTGTGACTCTAGATCTATGTTTTTTTGTAATTAATTAGAATAATTTATAGCTGCAGCTTCTGTGGTCCAATTGTGGTAAAATTTTTATGGTAGTCTAATTATTGTATGCTTGAACTATAGTAAAAATTTTATACTCATTGGATCATTTATAATTTAGTTATAGATAAATCATCCAATGAGTCTAAAATTTTTTCTATAGTTCAAATATACAATAATTAGTTCATCATAAAAATTTCACCACAATTGGACTATAGAAGCTGCAGGTATAAATTATTCCAATTAATTACAGAAAAGTATAGATCTAAAGTTACAACAAAAACTTTGTGCTAAAGAATACTATATTATACTCAATCCATCCCAAATTGTAAGACGTTTGACTTTTTTGACACCAAGTTTGACCATTCGTCTTATTCAAAAATTTGTGTAAAATATCACTTCTTTCGTCGTGGTTTGGTTTATTAATAAAATTTCTTCAAGGATGACTTAAATTTGACTATATTTGCACAAATTTTTTTAATAAGACGAGTGGTCAAACTTAAGGCTAAAAAAGTCAAACGTCTTATAATTTGGGATGGAGGGAGTATATTCATTGTGTAGACCTACTCATGTGGAGTCCCAAAAAATTGAATTTTCTATTTTATGATTTTTCTGTGATTTATTATGATTTTTCAAAGATTCAACAAAAATGAATAAAAAGGAAAAAGACAAACCCACCGTTACTGTACCAAAATCACCGTCCAAAATCGTTCGAGAGCATTATTTGACCGGTTTTGAAGTTGGGAGGTAAAAAATCCGACTTTATAATTTAGGTGATGAAGTAGTGTACCCGGGGTTATGGAGACTATTTCCTAGCATACTCTCGTCGGTGGGCCGATGGCCTTTTTCGTTAGAAGGCCAGCTCTCATAGTTTATCATCAAATATTATAATCTGAAGTTAACAACAAAGTGACCGCGTGGCCTAATGGATAAGGCGCTCGCCTCCGGAGCGGGAGATTGTGGGTTCGAGTCCCATCGTGGTCGAGATTTAATTTTTAGACTTTTCTGTTTTATTTTCAGGAAGTATCGCTGCGCCGCTGCTATGGTGAGTAGTGACGTGTTTACAATTTTTTTTTATTTTTGATTTGACGATACAAAAACCTGATGTACATTTGGGGTAGTCCAGCAAACACCAGAGAGTGCAAATTTTTTTGTTGATTGATGAGCTGGTGGAAGGAACTTCTTCGTCACCTTCTTCCCGTGATCTTCTATTCTTCCTTCCTTTCTCCACCTGTTTTTCCCCTACGGATAGCTGAATGCGAAGGCGGAGATGGGAGAGCTTCAGCCCGTCATCCTTCTAGATCCGCCCCGCTTTGACAGGACACTAAACACAAGATGTGGTAAACAGAAAACTAGATTTTCTATCTATTCCCCGAACGAATAAAATTGTGCCAAGTGACATTTACACTCGATGTTGCAGAGTGAGGATTTCTTGCCTCGGACGGAAATCAAAAGGAGTGGCAATAACTTGCAGTAGATTTGGAAGAGGTCGAAGAATCATGGCCATCGCTGATAGTTCACGCAATGTTCGGCCAACATGTGTAAAGGATAAGTGGAGGGGTTTACGTAGAGTGGCCAGCTGGTTTAATTAAAGGGACGTGCCGGCGTCCGGACATCCGACGGCATAGAATTCCTTCGGATGGTCTTTCCTGCGCGCGCCTGCACAGCCTGTCTCCGTCCGCTAATTCGCCCTGCCCGCATGCGCATCACGCCGTCGTCGCGTGCGTACAACTCTCGCTCGCAATCCGTCCCATCCGTTTCGATTCGACCCGTCTCCATCTGCGCACCCCGCCCCCATCCGTTCGCCCTGCCCCACACACGCAAGCCACGCCTCGTCGCCCCCCGACCCGACCGCCAGCCCCTTTACGCGCTCAAGCCACGCTCCGCCACGATCACACCGCTCGTCATACCCATTCTAACGCTGGTGACGTGCCACCATCACTCCCCCACGCCCCTGACTCTCCGAACAGCATGAAACACGTGCAACATAGAACACTTAAATGCAACGTATGTCTGAAACAGATCAAATATCTGTGAAATACACTTGTAACATATGTGTGAAAACATATGCAGCATCCGGATAGAACACTTACAACTTGCAACATGAAACACTTGCTGCAACGGAGACTGGAACATATGGAACAGATGGAACATTTGGAACATATTGTTGCAACATATGAGTGAAACATATGCAACATCCAGATCAAAACGCTTGCAATATTCGTTTGAAACATATGGAACATTTAAAAAAAACTCTTGCAACATGTCTCTAAAACACTTGCAACATGTGCGACATCCCCCGATCTACTTTTGCAGCATCCATATGAAACAACTGCAACATACCTCTGAAATGTCTGAAACACTTGAAACATATATTTACAACATAGGGAGGGGGAGCGCTTGCGCCGATCAATTTCGGCCATCGGGGGAGCCGGCAGCTAGTGGCGGCAGGCGAGCACCACTAGCATCCAGCACCAGCGCCACGCGCGAGCACCATCGCCACCAACGCCATCGCCATCGGCTTAGGGCTTACAAGGCAGCTACAAGCCAAAGCAGATCCGAGCACCACTGAATTCCAGCACCACGACGGACGGGCGCGAGGCACACGCGATGGCGAAGAACATGCGAAATCAGCGCAGATGAGGATACGCAAGCAAGCAGCCGAAGGGAGTTCACGTCTAGGATGTGGCAGCAGCCAAGAGACGCTTGCGGCGAGGGAGGAAAGCGGAAGGGATAAGGATGTGTGATTTTTTTAATAAACTAATGGGCGAGCGAGCGGCAGGGTAAAAGCGCAAGCAACGAGGGGTGGGCCTACGTGAGTGTCCAATGATTTGCTCACGTCGGACGTAAGACGTGTAGCTTTACCGTTGTAGGACACGTGGACGCCTAAGAGGGGGGGGGGGTGAATTAGGCAACTTAAAAATCTAACTCTAAACTATGGCCTCTTTTTCTACCTCTAGCAAAACCTATGCAAAAGATAATCTATCTAGATGTTCAACTACGGTTTTGCTAGTGTGTTGCTATCTCTACCGCAAATGATAATAATATGATCAATGTAAATGCGGAAGCTTAAAGAGCAAGGTAGAGATATGCAAACTCCGTCGGCGACTCGGTATTTTTACCGAGGTATCGAGAAGCGCCATAGCTTCCCCTAGTCCTCGTTGGAGCCCCTCGCAAGGAATCCCTCGCAAGGGCCAAGCTCCCGGTCGGGTAACTCCATGGATAGCCTCGGGCCTTCCCCACGCGCAAGTGGGTCTTCGACGTACCTTCCGGCAAGCCTCTCCCGGATGCTCTCCGCCGTCTTCACTATCAAGCTTTTGGTCGAAACGCCGCGGGCCTTGTTCCCTTCGCAGATACACGGCGGCCGCACCACAAACGCGTTGGTGCGATCTCGCAAGACTTCAAGCCCCTCCGATGTACAACTCTTGTGCTCGCAAGCACGGGGTGGTAAGAGGTATGCAAACCTCACTAAACACTAGGCATACACCTAGAGCAAGCGCATAAGCGGTGGTCTAATCAACCTAAGCACTTCGCAAAGCACCTACGCTAATCACCTGATGAAACACTAAGCACTTAGCAAGTGGAGATCACTAAAATGGTGTATCAACACCCTTGGTATGTTTCCTCGGCTCCACACTTCTTAAATGGCCGGTTGGGGGTTGTATTTATAAGCCCCACTGAGAAAGTAGCCGTTGGGGTCGAACTACCGCAATCTGCACATCGACCGGACGCTGAATCGTCTGACGACCGACGCGTCCCGTCGTCCACCGCTAGTTAGCCGCTGAACTACCGATCGGACGCCGCCAGCTCGGTCGCTCGCCATCGACGCATCCGGTCGCAGTTTCACGCGCTGAACCTCTTCAGATTCGATCGACGACATGCGTTCCTGCGTCCGTTCGGTTCTGCCGCCAGCGTCCGGTTGCCCTGATCTGCCGAAAGCCACCGGTCCAGCGTCGTTCGGTCAAGGC